TTGTTTTTTTTTTTTTTCTGCTATAGGGCATGTGCACTCCCTGGAGAGACAGAGACAGAGACAGAGAGATAAAAAGAGAAATCACACACACACACCCCATAGCCACGACACGACACACGCTTGCGCACGCACCTGGCGTGAGTTTCAAGCCATGTGGTCAACCATGTGGGAGTCCAGTACAGCAACCACTACACCACCTGCTGGCCGGGAGACCCTTCCTCTTTTTAGAATGCAAATGCAGGGTCAGCAGATGGTATAGTGGTTAAGTCTTCTGGACTCCGTGCGATATGGATGACCTCGATTGGAGTCTGGGACCTGGTGGCTTGATACTTGGCGCGCCTGTGTGCGTGGGTGCATGCCCAACATCCCAGAGGGAGAATGGAGAAGGGCTTGCAGCATGGCCATGCCTCCAAGGGGTGATTTCTCACTTCTCTCTCTCTCTTTCTCTCTCTGGCAAGAGCACATGCCCTAAGGCAAAAATCTCTCCAAAAAAAGGGAAAAAATTAGAATGCAAATGCAGCCAGGGCTGCCACAGGAATCTGGCCTCCAAAGGGAGTGACTCAGTTTCCTTAGTTGAAAAAAAAAAAAGTCAGAGCCCCTGCTTAAACTGAAAAGACTTGGGGCCAGGTATATTTCCAGGATTCGGAATCTTTTCGGTCCCATGTGTTGTATAATATTTATTTTCAGCTAGGCCTGGGGCTGCCTTATTAAGAAAGGGGGGGGGGGGGAGCCACTTATGGGACCCCATTCATGGGACCAGCAGTTAGCGTAATGGCTATGTCACTGGACTTCCATGTAGTCGAGAACAGATCAAGTCCCAGACCTGGTGGCTTAAAACTCACGCCAGGCTCGTGTGCGTGTGTACCCAAGATCCCAAGAGGAGAATGGAGAAGGGATTGCGGCATGGCCATCCCCCCTGGGGGTGATTTCTCGCTTTCTGTCTCTCTGTCTCTCTCTGTCTGGCAAGCGCACGCGTCCTATGGCAAAAACCTCTCCAAAAAAAAAAAAAGCACATTCATACTTCTAAAAAAAAAAAGAAAAGGTGGTGTGAACGTTCTACTGTGAATAATAAGTACAAATAAAAATTGAAAATTGTTCCTTGTAAGAGCCAGTCAGTTTTTTTTAACCAAATGATATCAAACTTGTGGAGAAAGCTTTGCCAACTTCGAAATTGCAGATAAAGGATTGTGGGCCACAGAATAAACCTCTTCAGTGATAAGAATGAGACCATGTGGTGCAAAGGCTGAGCTAGAAAGGATATAGTGAACATAAAGTTGTTCAGTAAATGGGGGTGGACACTGTTCATAGTGTTTGTTAGAGCCCAGGGAGCCCCAGACCTGATACTTTGTTCTGCAATCCCAGGGAAGTTCTGGCCCTGAGTGCTGAGCCTCAGTTTCCTGGTTCTGAGTAGATGGGTCATCAGCCCAACACTAGATGAGGAATAGGAAAGAGCACAAATTAACTTCTGGGACCTTTGCAAGATGAGGGGACAGCTCTTTGGGGTGCAAGGCTGGGTGACAACACTGATGGCATTTGCAGAGTGTGTTATCCTGACCAAGTAATTTCTTCAGGCTTAGCCTCAGTTTCTGCATCTGAGATAGTCACCTCACTGCCCAGAATCAGGGTTCCTGAGGTGTGCCAAAGACATTCTTCAAACTGGATGTTTGTTTTATTCCCATCTCATTTGAGGTCTGGAATGTCATAGCTGGAAGGCCAGGAGGGTTCAACTCAAGGACCTGCCTGCTCTCTCCCCCCAAAAATCACAAGACCTCTCAAAACTAAGGAAGGGGCTCCCCTCTTTTAGTCCAGCTGGTTGAAAGAATGAATAGTGGAAGGGATAAAACATACTTTAACCTGTGCTGAGTGTGTGTTTTCCAACTCTGTGAGGACAAGACTGAGCTTCTGGAACCAGACAAACTGGGCTCTGACTCAGGGCCTTTGCACTTGCTGTTTCTACTACTGTCAATGTCCTTTCCTCAATTCTTCATACATCTGACTTTTAGTCATTCCGGTCCCGGCTCAAATGTTATTTCTTCAAAGAGGCCAGCAGCTCACCATCAATCTCCCCCAACATAACCTCCTTTTGCTTTCTTCATAACTCTCATGTCTATCTAAAATCATCTTTTATTTATTCATTTTCTTGTCTTTCTTGTCTGATGTCTGTCTAGTTCCATTACATCAGCTACATAAGGACAGAAATCCTTTTATTTTTTAATTTGCCAGAGGGTGCATGTGTTCTCCAGAGAGACTGAGAGAGAGAGAGAGAGAAAGAAAGTGAGAAAATACCCCCTGTGGAAAATGGTCATGCCACAATCCTTTCTCCTCTGTTTCTCCTTTTGAGATTTTGGGCATGCATGCACACACACAAGCATGTTTTTCGAGCTGCTGGCCTGGGACTCGAACCACATAGTCAGCTATGTGGGATCCAACCGTCTTAACCTCCATGTCACTGGCTGGCCCAGAATGGAAATCTTTATGTCTTGCTCCTCAGCATCTTCATAGCACCCATTATGATGCAAAGTATACAGGTGTAGTTCAATTAATACTTGTCAAAAGCAGGTGAGATGAAGAGGACAGGTCTTTGATTAAATCTTGCTTCAACCCACTTCCCTCAAGCTATTTGCACTCAATTCCCTTCTCTGTGAAATGGACATATCAGGGTTGTTGAGTAGATGTGTAACTAAATAAAAATAAATATTGCAACAAAGCCAATAGCAGGAATAAGGCTAAGTAAATGGTGGCCGAGGTTACTAAGATTAGTCTCCTGGGTGTGACTGTATTTATAGGACTGCTGCTCCAGCGCCTTTTCCTGACTTCTGTAGAGCCACACATCGACCAGGCTCTGAGTCAGAGGGAGCTGGTAGACACCCCTGCACACTCCCCGGCCCACTCCCCTGATTACAACACTAACCATCCAAGTGTTCACCTTTTCATACCCAGCTCCCAGCTCTCTCAGCTTAGCTTTGCAGTCCTTCTTCCTCCCCCTGGACTCTTACACTCCGGTTCTTTCATTTCTCTCCCTCTCACCTTCCTGCCCCTCCTCCCCAAAGGGGTGAAAGTTACTCAATCCTGTCAGACCACAGCTTCCCTCACAGTAGGGATGGGACCTAATGTTCAGGATGTAGTGACAGCAGAGGCTGCTGGACATTTTGGCTAGCAACTGCCTCGGGGCTATCCCCGTTGGAGTTCCGCTGGCCATATAAGACCTGGCTGCAGGACTCTGTTCCCAGGGTGGAGGAAACTCTGGGCCTCTCCTGGGACCAGGAACGCCCAGCGTGTGGCGTGTGCACACAAGCCTGACTACAGCTCATCACCATCTACGGAAAAAGGGGGTGCGGCCCAAACGTTCTAACAGCCATTTTTAGACAGGCACACCCGGGGGTGCTGACTCACCTTCCCAGCTCCACTCCAAAGGGGGCTCCAGGGCCCCACCTCTGAGGGTGGCCGTATATTTGCCAGGGAAAGCTGGCGGGAAGTGGGAGACCACAGGCTCCTGGCAAACGAAGCTGTCCTGATTCTAGCCCTTGTTATTCCGACTTTAGCAGAGGGTCTGGACAATTCCAAGCCAGGACTGTGGGCATATTGGTGCACTCCCACTATAAAAAGGGGCCCACCCTCTGTATTCTCCACACCACGCCCCTGTGCACCTCCCCAAACGTGTAATGAATGAATTCGGAGAGGAGTGGAGCTGACAAAGAGAAGGGGGAGAGAAAAGCATGCCAGGCTGAGGGCCCGCAGATGTAAACACCCAGTCTGGAGGCTGAAAGAACACGAAGTTTGTCAGTGGTTACAAGAGGCCCTCCTCAAAGCTGGATGGACCCACCCCTCTTTTACAGGGTGTACTGAGAGGACCCACCCCGCCTACAGCACCTGGCAAGTCAAGGCTGGATAGAACCATTTTATTAGTACCCCGCCCACGGCCAGAAGCCAGAAGCGTGGGGCTGGCTGATGTGGGAGGGTCGGTCGACCTGACCAAGTGGAAGCTAGTGCACGCAGATCCAAGTTGGGCGGTTCCAAGTGACTATGGGACATCCAGACGTCTGATGAGTGTGCTCAGTGCCTCCGCCTACCGGCTGCCATTTAATGAGCAAGCTGCGCCGCCCCCCGGACCCCTAGGGCCCGCGGGGGCCGCTCCTCCC